AATTAATAAATCGATCCGCTGAAGCTCAAGTTGGGATCGGCGAACGCCATGTTTCCATGGATATTCCAGTCCGAAATAATAATATGATCGCTCGTTTGAATCTAGAGGGCGATTCTAGAGAATTTTAAGGGCGAGGATGCCCCGTGACTACCAAGAGAAATGTCCTGCCTACGACGATAAAGTCGGAAGAGTGGCGAGTTGCATCCACAAGCAAAGTGATTGGTCTTTAAATGATAAGGCATTACATCGCGGACAGGCGAATATGTCTTAATCGCCCCACACAGAGGATAATCATTGATACACCGTCGATAAGGGTGTTAATTACCATGTTAATTACCATTAATTACACGATCTCTTGTTAGTTGGTCTATGTTTTATTCTTATTATTCTATCGTATTTCTCTGAAGGGCAGCTTGAGTCTCCTCTCACTTGACTTGGGTTTAAAAATATATATTAATACACAATAAATCAAGAGCTAGAGAATAATTTTTCAAGACAGTGGAAACAAGCCCGGATTATCATGATCCCAAAGCCAAGTAGCCACTATCTCAAATCGATTCCTACCGCCCAATCAGCCTGCTATCCACTTTCACGAAAGTGTTTGAACGGATTTACTCAGTCGACTGTTGGAACTACCACAAGTAGAAGGCCATATTCCTCAACACCAGTTCGGTTTCAGAAAATCCCATGGCTGCCCAGAACAAGTCCATCGCCTGGTCAACGAATCTAGGCTTCTTCCTCGATGTAAAACAAGTCTTTTATACGGTGTGGCACGACAGCCTTCTTTACAAAATCAAGGAACTTCTCCCTGCACCCTATTTCGCCATCCTCAGGGGTTTCATTGCCGATCGAACCTTTGTTGTAGCAGTAAGGGACTCACGTTCCAGCTAGCACACACTCACGCAGAAGTGCCCCAAGGAATGAACTTGGTCCGTTCCTATTTCCAGAATGTAGCCATCAGAGCGACCGCACTGTCCAGGGCGGGAGGAAATGCAAGCCAGGATACGTCCAGAGGTGAACTGATCCTCCAAGGCTAGCTCAACCTTGCCGTACTTTTGGCGCTCCAGGTACACGGTACATCATACACGATGTACACAAGTGACAGGCCAGTTTCGTCGCTCACCACAGACGCTCGTATGCTTCTGGCTATTTACGCTGACGATACGCCCTTGCATGCATCCCACTCGTCTCAGCTGACAGCCTCGGCTGCTGTTCAGGACTGGCTGAGTGCGATGGAGCGCTGGACCAAGCGATGAAACATAGCCATAAATAGCAGCAAGTCGGCATGCGTCACTTTTTCTTTAAGACTTTTGATCGCCATCGTGCATACGTTCAATGGAGACACCATTAAAAACGCCACCACTCACTGTTACTTGGGAATTCACTTAGATCACAGGCTCATATGGAACACCCACAACACGGCGCTCAAAGCAAGTTTTGCTACTCAAAGCAATCCTCAAGCCAACCTGGACGTATGCGATCGAAGTATGGGGCACCGCATCCAAGCACCAAGCTAAACAGGCTGAGGGTAGGGCAGGCACGTGCTGCTCGACGGGCATCCGGACTTCTCTGGTATGTGACAAACCAGGCCATTCAAAACGATCTACGCCTTGTTCCGGTGGGCGACCTCCTAAATAAATACAGCCGATGGTACTCGGATAGGCTAACGAGTCACCCAAATCCACTGGCTTGCAGGCTGGCCGACCCGCAAATTCTTAGACGTTTAAAGCGATCTGTCTTCCCGTATTGTACACTAATATTGTAAGCAAATGAAAATAATTGTAAATTATTGTGTATCTCTAGGCCCATATTCCATATGTACCATACTCACCCAATCTTCTAAGCGCCCGGTTATATTCAAATGGTCCTGAACGATTCCGGCAAAAATAAAAAATTTAACTTGTTAAAAAATAAATAAAAAAGAATAATTGGCCCTCACTTTCCAGCAAAAAAGAATGCGCCGCCAAACGAGTAAAACGAGTATTGTGTCTTTAGTTTAAATCAAAATAATTTCACCAAATACAAACGAGAATGCAAGCACTTACAACTGCAAACGGTAACGTCGGCGTCACGAATTTTTAGCAGCCAATCGGTTTTTACAGCCCCGACTTATTCAATAAATAAAAATTCGACAGTTCAAGATCAATATATTATCGAACTACCGAACTGAGCGGACGTGCTTTGCCCGAGCTCCGGGAAAACTGCAACGTAAAACAGTTAACCAAACAAAAAAAAAACTGGGGCAACCCAATATAAGCGAAAAGTGGCTGAACCACAATGTATGAAGAGCAATAGACAAGCTTTTTATAACAGTTGTGATGTGCTAAACCAAAACTACTGCAATGTTTTAAATAAATATGTGCCACGCAATGAGCTCATTGAACAAAGTGAGCCAAAGAAAGTTCCGTGAACCAGAGAAACGGCTTCTACTCTTAATCTTTAACCCGCGATACCGAATTGGAAAAATCGGCGATTAAGAGCCACCCGGCTCTACTGACCGCTGAAACCCAAAGGGCACGGTCATGCCGACCCGCTCTGCTCACGCCGACTCCCGCGTCATGGAGTTCGCAGTGTAGAACCCCCCTCCCATATCGGAAGCAACAACCACTACAATTCAAAATACCGCGACTTCAACGACTACAGCGAGTACAAAAATAACAACTTCGGAAAATGCCAAAGCGGCCCCGGCCACACATACTGGAATGGACCGCTACATCCAAATTAAGCGCAAGCTTAGCCCGCAGAGCTATCTGGCAGGCAATAAAACAAAAATTAACCGCGTCCTGAAGATCGACGAAGAACCAGGCAGAAACACTAGTAACAGATTTTCCCTACTGGCGGAGGTTGAGAAAAACCAACCAGCCCAAGACACCGCAAAAAAACCCAAGCCCCCTCCAATCTATATGAGGGAGAAAAGCTCGAGTGCCGTGGTCAACCGAATTGCGGCGTTGATCGGGAACGGTGACAACTTTCATGTTGTCCCGCTTATCAAAGGGAACATTCATGAAAGGTGCAAACAAAGACTGAAGAGCACTTCCGAATTGTGTCCAATTATCTAGACAGTGCTCAGAAAAACTATTACACGTACCAGCTGAAAAGCAGTATGAGCCTACAAGTGATAGTGAAAGGAATCGAACTCGATGTTACCGCCGCGGAAATAAAAACCGCCCTTAAAGAAAAGGGAATTGCCGCCAAGAATTTTATTAACATTGTAAATAAAAATAAAAAGCCTCTACGATTCCTAATTGCTCTAAATTCCAATTCAGCCTAACTCGCAAAGCGCTTAAAAGACCCCAGAACAGCGACACAGCAAAACGGTAACTATGATGCTTACCCTCCAACAAAGTATGATGGAGCTTATGTCATTTATGCGACCATGCAAACACTTGTTCAAAACCAGAACATTGTGATTCAGCTCCTCGTATCACAACAGTCTAAATAATCTATGCGGGCTCTACGTATATCAATATTTAAAATTTAAAACAAAAATTAAAAAAAAAAAAAAAAAGATCAATCAATTTTATTTTAGGTTAAATATGCAAGTTATCCAACCCGTAAATACAGGCCACTTATGGCTTTTATAAACAATATTTTCAATCTCTGCATTTGCCTTTGGCTTTGACTTTGGCTCAATTATCCAACCCATAAATCCAGGCCACTTATGGCTTTCCACTTATGAATTTTATAAACAATATTTTCAAACTCTGCATTTGCCTTCGGCTTTGTCTTTGGCTCTGAGGTCCGATCTCGGTTCCCCATAAACAAATCAAAATCAAATATAAACATCAGCTTCCCTCCGAAGCCCAATCAATTACGCCTTTTGCGTTTCAAGTACCCACCAAATTGCATCGATCAGCTTAATCGAATTTCACAATAAGATGCGACATTTTTATCTTAAGCCTCTAATCTAAACACAACTGATGGCCGAGGTTCTTTGGATCAGATTTAGAATTAAGAAGGCAGTCCCTTTTTGACCGAGACCGCGAACGGTTGACAAAAAATATTTAAGATAAATCAAAAGTGTCTTGTAATAATTACGTTTAATATATAAAGGTTTAACACCAAGTTGTATAATTAAAAAATTAAATTTACATTTTTTTAATTCACCGAACTACAAACAATTTAACTTGCACGCATTTCGTGCTATGGTCAAGCTCCAAGTTCATGTGGGACTCACAACTATGCATTCCAAAAGAACAAGAGCGAGAACACTAGCGGCTCACACAATAAATGCATTTCGCTATTTACGAAAACTATGAGTTTCAGGAAATGAACCATAAAGATCCCGGCGAATAGAGACAACATAATTCGAAAGCGCTGCTGAGCGAGAGCGAGACGGAGCATGGGATAAAGCACAAAGAATAATAGTTTACAATAAATAACAATGTTTATGTACAATGCACCTTTAGCGCAGCGGTTTCTGTTGTATGCAACATGAATTTTTCTACACGCGACCTTACTCCCTCCCTCCCTCCCTCCCTCGCTCTGTACCTGTTCTTTCCGTCTTTTTTGGTACCGTCTTTCCCGATCGAAAACTCACGCTTCGATCTCGGTCGCTCCGATTTTTTTTTAAAGCGTTGAGCCGTGCTCGCATTATTATTCTCGCCGTCCCGCCTAATTACATTAGCATAAATGTAAGAAACATAAACACCTTGAATATGGGGCTTATTATTTGAATTTAGGAACGTAAGCAAGCATAATGCATCTTACAAAACATCATCTTTATAATAAAGACCGTTGCGAATAAAAATTTAACCATGTCGTTACTCAGTGCATAACTTGTGATGCTTCAAAAAAACAAACAGATGATTCAATTTTTACTTTAATATCAATTTTTTTTTGAGATGTGTTGCTAAAAAAATGGTCGTATATAGCAATAACTTTACAATACTAATACGGAACATTTTTTATTGTTCTGCTTTATACAATAGTTTCATCACAAAATAATTTTTGTTTAATATTCTAAACCCAAAAAATGAATAATAAAATATCATACTTACCATGAATCCGGAAATATAAAAACCTTTACTTTCTTACTATCTTTTAATGGACATATCCAGTGTTCGAATTCGTCAGCCCAGTTCATAACTGTACTCTTAGGACAAAGAATTAATATTTTCGAAGTATTTAATTCTTTATAAGAAATAACAGTGTTCAGCAAAGCAATTAGCTAAAAAATTAATTTATTAGAATAATAATTTCTTTTTAATAAGTGTTATTATCATATACCTGAAGAGTTTTTCCTAGCCCCATACAGTGAGCTAAGACACATCCGGATCCCGAATTTTTATGAGTCAAATCTACGCCACCATAACATGAATCATACATAAATTTTACGCCATCTTTCTGATGGGACTTTAAATGTTTAACTATGTTTCGGTCTACTTTAATAAAAGTTTTAGTTTTTCCAATGTAGTCCAAAATAAGATCAGATTTATGTGTTAATTTAAAATGGGTCTTCATTGCTTTAGAAAGCAAATTATTTTTTTTTTCAAGTCGCCGAATTCTGTCACTTTCATTTTTTTGAGCATCTCTGGTTTCATTAGCTAATTGATCTACTCGAAGCATTGGTTTTAATCGTTGTTTGTGAATAGAATCACCTCCAGATTCAGAATATTCACTTTCAGAACTTACCACAATTTCGTCTCGCTTATTACATAAATCAATACCTAATTCTAATCTAGAAAAAGATTTTGGTCCTTGGTTATTTAAATGCGATTTTAATCCAAAAGTATCTTGACTTTCTGAAACCTTGCTTAAATCCGAATCCAAACAAGTTGCATCTTCAAGAAAACGAACTTCATCAGTTTTAAATACTGTCAGAAATCTATCAACAATATTCGTACTAGTTCCACCTTTTTCTAAAGACGTTTCTTTGGAATATTCATGAAAGCTTCCATTCGAAAGTCCGGAATCACTGTTTGAATCATTCAAGAGTTGATTCTTTATTTCTTCATTGTATCGGGATACGTACTCCACTTCGGTTATGATAGTTTTTTCACTCTAAAAAGTAAATTAAGCGAAATTAAAAGTCATTGGGACATGGTAACATTTAACTCACTTCAACAATCGTATTTTTTGCTAAAGGCTCCATATCTTCTTCTGTGCCCGAAAAATAATTACCTTTATTAATTTCTAAAGATTTTGAAATATCGATAGTCTTTACGTTCCGAAGCTTAGGTTGCAATTGCTTTGAATACGGTTTTAAATCAAATAATCTAAAAAAAAGAAAACAAATAAAAATACTTTTTCAATGTTTCAATAACTGAATAACTGTTTTCCAGTACCCAACTTAACCATATGTAATTTAGAACAGGAGTACGCACGAAGAAGGCAAAAAAAAAGTGAGAGTGTATTGGGGAGAGAATCAAACTTCTGCACATGGCGAAGCGTAGAGTCCGTTGAGAATGAAATTATTTAGGACCTTAAAAAAGGTTTTAAAGGTTGCGGAAGCGAAAGAAAGTTTACCGAAAAAACGCAACAAGTCAGCAAAATATATTTTTGATTTATTCAATAATTTTCCGTTGTTTGCAGAACATATGCTGAATGTAGAGCAAATATTAAAAAATTTTGGGATCTGTGTAAAAGACCGTTGTAAGCTCGGGGCCTTCAAGGCTCAAAACCGATTTAGAATCTAGTTATGACAATTCATTTTAATGACTCCGTAAACCTCCATAGTGCCGCTTACGAATCCCAGTAAGTTCAAAGAAAAATAAAAAAAGAAACTAACAAAACTCTCTCTATTTGCGAATCCTTTGAGGTTTTGACCTATTCCATATCTGGGGTCAATCAGTCGTCTCCCTGCGTTCCTAACTTAGCATTTACTGTTTCCAAAAGGGTGACATTCACGTTGAAGTGATAATTTTAATAGCTTAATTGAAATATTTGCAATAATTTTGCAAACTAATGTAAATAACTGTAAATTATTGTATATAGTCTAGGCCCATATCCCATATTTTCCATATTCACCCCATCTTCTAACCGCCCGTTCATGTTCAAATGGTTCAGAACAATTCCGGCGACTACCATAAAATTTAACTTTTTTTTTTTTTTTTTAAATTTTTTTTTTTAAATGTTTTAAAAAAAAAAAAAAAAAAATTGAAATATTTTATTGGTCCAATATTGTTGCATGCCGCGATGTAATTTGGGGCAATATAGATTTCTCAAAATTTTTAATAGCTCCCAGTTTCTAACCATTATAATATTATAAGATTTATATTCGCCATTGCCGGATTCCCTGTTATCTCAGGACAGTTATAAAACTTTGTAATTACCCGTAAAACTTTTTCTCATGCATAAGATTGAAATATCATTTGCTGCCTCTGGTCAGCCCGTAGCCGACTTAATCACCAAATTACCAATTAATTGAATGTAATTGTTCTACCTACAGAAGCATTTCTAAATTTTTTACCAATTCCAACGTTATTTCGAAAATTAATCACTCTTCATTTGCCACATTTTTGTACAAAAATGTAGATTTTTCCGTTCATCAGTTCAGCATGTTCTCATATAGCGTCGCTTCCCCAACACGTATTTATGTGTTGGAGTTTATATCCATTGTAGTTTACATCCCAAGACAGATTTGAAACTTATTTGGTTTACACAGACACAAAGTGTCTTTTGTATCATTTAATACCTCACTTATTTTGTGTAAACCACATCTTTTGAGGTTTTTTATAGTCTATGTGGATTTTCAAATTTCAGCTACCTACCTAGCTACCCAGATACAAAGAATTATATTTAAAATTGTACATTCCCATTAAAATTATGCCACATCTGGAGTTATTTTTTACTCTTTTTATATACCTGAGGGGATATTATAATTTTGGTTGAAAGAATATATATTCTTGATAAGGCTCACCTCCTGATGAAGCTTGTCCTTTTGTCTGTGTGTTTGTGTCTGTCTGTGTTTTTAGGTGAACTAGTCTCTAGTTGGATGAAAATCATAATCATTATTGATAATCAATCTCTGTTTCAATTTCCAATTTCATAGATAGGCAAAAAAATATGTGGCGTAGATTAAACATTGCATGAACAGTATTTCGTGAAAAAAATGCATACACAGGATATCAGCACATCAGTGGCTAATAAGCAATCAGTTATTTATACCCTTGCAGAGGGTATTAAAATTTTGTCCAAAAGTGAGCAACGCAGTAAAGGAGACATCTCCGACCCTATAAAGTAAGTATATATATTCTTGATCACGATCACCTCCTGAGTTGATATAACGAACAGACGGACAGTCCGTCTGGCCACTGGACTCGACCGTTGCTTTTATGCGGCTTTATGATTTTCTGATGAAAAAGATATTACACGTTGTAGATTGGGTGGACTTCGTTCTTCTTCAGCGACCTGCTTTCTGGCTCGAGCTCGACCTTGAAGAGGGGTTGTGGCTTTTTATCTTTATTTACAATGTTAATAACATTCTTGGCGGCGAAGCCCTTTTTTTTAAGGGCGGGTTTTATTTCCGCGGCGGTAACATCGGGTTCGATTCCCTTTACTACCACTTGTAGGCCCTTACAGCTTTTCAGCTGAAGCGCGTAATAGTTTTTCTGAGCACTGTCTAAATATTTGGACACAATTCGAAAGTGCTCTTCAGTCTTGGTTTGCACCTTTGTTTCATGGATGTTCCCTTTGATAAGCGGGACAACATGAAAGTTGTTCCCGTTCCCGATCAACGCCGCAATTCGGTTGGAGGGGGTTTGGGTTTTTTTGCGGTGCCTTGGGCTGGTTGGTTTTTCTCAACCTCCGCCAGTAGGAGAAACCTGTTACTAGTGGATCTTCGTCGAACTTCTGGACGCGGTTATTTTTGTTTTATTGCCTGCCGGATTATTGTGCGGGCTAAGCATGTGCTTAATTTGGATGTAGCGATCCATTTCAGTCTATGTGGCCGGGGCCACATTGGTACTTTCCAAAGTTGTTGTTTTTGTACTCGCTGAAGTCGTTGACGTCGCGGTATTTTGAATTGTAGTGGTTGTTGCTGTGGTTGCAGAAATTGTAGCACTGCTTTTTGCTGATGTGAAAATTGGAGGGAGAGTTTTACCAGAGATTATAAAGTACATAGATGGGACATCTCATACAAAGACAAATTTTCTATGGCGGCTTCCAGCTGGAACCCGCTGGAACGAGCGGGTTCCATTGCGCGACAAGTTAAGTTTGAAAAATTTTTCGCGCGACAACGAATGAGGAATAGCCGAGTGGTAAAGGCTCGGGACATCCATTTTTTTGCATTTTTTTCCATTTTTAATTTTAAATCTATTTATATTTTATTATTATTTTTTTAATGTGTTTTCCTAAATTTATAATCCAATAAAAAAAAATACAAAATTGTAAAATCACTTTAACATTGTCTCAGTTCGTAGTGGAACCCGCTGTAATAATGAAAACATTTGAGAGTGGGTTCCATGACAAACGGCTGGCAGATGAGAGAGGGAAAGAGAGAATTATATTTTTAGATCGTAACATCTTTGGAAAGATGAAAGTTTGAAACGTTGTAATCGAACCAATGTAAGAGTGAAGAGATCAGAAATATCTTTTACTATCCTTACTCGTCAGCTCTGTTTTTGGTATGCATTCTAGCGCCTCCTTTAACACCAATTTTAAGTATTATAAAATCAACTTCGAGGGTAGCCTAGATGGATAGTGCGCGGTCCTTATTCATGGGGTTCTGGGTTCGATTTCATTAGCGGGCGGTTGTTTCAATTTTGATAAAGTGTTAGTTTTATGATTCTTTTTATATTTACTTTCATACTTTACTTTACTTTTTTTAATTTTAATTTTTACGTTATTATTATTATTTTTAATTGCATTCTATTACAATTGTTGTAAAAATAAGTGACGGACGTGTCGGATGACAAAATGCCGGAAGGACTCCCTTGAAATTTTATTAGCATTTTATTAACGGGACATAATGAAGAATAAAACAATTTTACAATTGTAAAATTAAAAAAAAATATTACAATTAAAGAAAAATAAATAAAAGAAAAAGTTCAAAGGCTTTACGGGGATTTGAACAAAGAAAAATTACACATAGAGTAACTACTCTATGCATTACGCTACAACCCTTTCTTGATCCGCATCGATTTAAAAAACTATTTGTTTTACTAACATCGGAGCATTGAAAACAGAAACGAGAAATTGAAATTGAAATTTGGAAGCCAAAACCTTTTTACGCCGTCCTGCGAGCAGTCACACATACATACAAAGGCTCACATTTTTGTTGATGGATACATGTTAAGAGTTCTAAAAATAGAATCGTATGCATGTGCGTTCCCCCCTCACCAACAAGCTCGACGAAAAAAAATGACCGTTTTGGGCCCTGATGTCCCATCTATGTACTTTATAATCTTTGGTTTTACATTGCGAGCTCCATGACGCGCCCTTAGGCTATCAGCGGTCAGAAGAGCCGAGTTGTTTTTTTTCTATTTTTCTATTTCGTAAGCCGTTTCTTTGGTTATTTGATCGTTGCTCATTGAGCTAATTTTGTGGGACTTATTTATTTAAAACAATTATCCACTACTGTTATGTTAAGCTTGTCTATCGTTTTTGATAGTTTGTGGTTCAGCGTCTGTTTCTTGGGTTACACCACATTCTTTCTTTACCTTCTCCTGAAGCTCAGTTCGGGAGGTTGTTTATATATTTTTATTATAAAAAATTTGTGAGTATTGCTAATTTCCTTGCATTCATTCAAAAAATTTATTATTATTATATTATAAGAATGACAAATGCCCTTATCTTCTTTAAATTACCATACATAAAAAACATTTATTTGTCAAAATTTCAATATCATAATGTGTTCAAGACTTTCTCAACAATGGATATTCATTTTCTCATTATACCCTTGCAGAGGGTATTATAATTTTGGTCAAAAGTGTGCAACGCAGTGAAGGAGACATCTCCGACCCTATAAAGTATATATATTCTTGATCAGGATCACCTCCTGAGTTGATATGAGCATGTCCGTCTGTCCGTCTGTCCGTCTGTCTGTTTCTACGCAAACTATCATTGTCTCTCAGTTTTAAGTCTACCGACTTGAAACTTTGCACACACCCTTCTTTCCTTTGCACGCAGTATATAAGTCGGAACGGCCCGGATCGGTCGACTATATCCTATAGCTGCCATATAACTGATTGATCGGAAATGGTATAACTTTGGTGTTTTTAGAGTTAGAGAGTTCAAATTTGACATGAGAGCTATTTTTGGCAATATACGACATGCC